ATCAAAATATGCCATGTAAGATTTAAAGTGAATTAAAAAAAATAAAAACAAAAACAAAATAGAAAAACGAATTAATAATAAAAAAATCAAAATTTAATTTTTAAATTTTAAACCATAATCCCTATACCCTAAACCATAATATATAAATTAAAAAAAAAAAACTAAACCCTAACTCCTAAACCCAAATATTTATTTTTTTTTAAAAATTAGAAATAAAAACTAAACCCTAAACCCTAAACCAAATATTAAATTTTTTAAAAAATTAAAAAATAAAAACTAAATTCTAAACCCTAATCCCTAAACCCAAATATTAATTTTAATAATATATATTTGGATTTAGGGTTTAGGATTTAATGTTTATTTTTTATTATTAAAATTAATGTTTGAGTTTAGAGATTAGGGTTTAGGATTTAGTTTTTATTTTTTAATTTTTTAAAAAATTTAATATTATGCTTGGGTTCACTATTTTAATTTAGGGTTTGGTTTTTTCATATTAGAAAAGAAAATTTAAAATGTGCTATTTTGATAAATTACTTTAATCAATTTTATTATTTAGCTGATTTTTATTGGTTAAAATAAGAGAGAGTAAATAAAAGAATAATTTTAATAATTAAATCAAATTATTTCATTTGAATAATATTAAATTTTTAATTGTCTGTGATAAAAAAAGTCAACTTACCTTAATTGTTTTATGAAGATAATATTCATTTATTTTAAATCTTAAATGACATTTTTTGATTGGTTAAAAAAAAAAATTGTTCACTTAACAAAATCCCACGCTGTCTCATATAGGTCTTACCCAATTATGTTATTGATAGAAAGTTATATTAACAGATAAAAAGAAACTTAAGATATTTTCATTTTCCTATTAAAAACTTATGAAATTTTCATTTTCCTAAATAATATTTTTCTATCCGTTTCAGAGATTAACCCTAAAACTGAAACTACAACTAGTCCAGAATTCTGATGGAAAAAAGGAGGTTTCAAACAAAAATTATTGTGGTCCATATGAATAAATATAAGACGAAAAATATAAACAAACACAAAAAAAAAGAAAAAAAAAAGAAGGAGGAAGCTATTCGAGCCTGTGGGATATCGGAGAATTGATACGAATTATCTAGGAACCTATAATGCAACTAGATTGACTCGAACTGATCGAATAATGATTTTGAGGATTTTTGTATTGACAAACCTGTAAACTTTAATAGACTATATATTTTATAGATTTGAAAGATGAAAACTTTACAAGTAGATGATTTCTTTGTGTCTATATTTTGCTAGTAATAAAAAAGTGTAGACGTCCAATTTGTAATATATAGTTTAGTCAGTTGGACAGTTTTTTTGCTTTGGCTTCGGTTGGGTAGCTTAAGATAGTTGAGTTGAATGTTTGTGAACAAAATTATAAAATAATATGTTATTATTATGTTCTTATCAATAGGCAAGAAGCATCAAATTCCAAATAATTCACGTAACGCATAAAATAATCAAATCTTCAACTTTCACCAAGAATGGATTAACTTCACCAAGAATGGATTAACTTTAATTGAAACTATATTTTCATATTTGTTTCAATGGTTCTTAAGCTGCTTTAACATTTTTAGTATAAGATCAAATATATATATATATATATATATACATTTAACATGTACATATATAATAATATATTTTGTGGATTTTCTTTATTACCTTTACCGTATTACCATTCGAATTCATTCTATGGTTTAAACTTGTTATATATGTGTTCATGATCACTAGTCTCATATATAAACAACAAAGTTATTTCAAAATTACACTAACATGTTAGTTTTATTACATATAATTATAGAATAATGTTATGGAGTGACTGATTTTAATAACAACATATATATATAACCAAGTGTATTGTGATCTAGTATTTGAGAGTTTTCAAATTTACTAGTTCAACTCTACTTAGAAACAACGATTTATGCCTAAAACATGACATTACCAACGGCTGATTACATGCATCAAAGAAGAGGTTGAAGATTCGGAACGTCCACAAGAGGTTAACATTTTTTTTGTCATTATATATATATATATATAAACATATACACATTGACATCCATAAAATGAAAGAGAAAGGTTCTACTCGGTCGAGGACCATCCAAAAAAATTCTTCTACTTATTCCATAATAATAAAATCTGGAGAAATATTTTTCATATTCGTATACGGCTAGGCTGCATGTGTGTGTACACATCCACTAGCTTTCAAAAGATATTCTCTTCTCTTTATATGCTAATGTCGTTTAACTATTAATTAGGTAGTGTCCACCATTGTATGCTGGAATGATAAATTCACAAAACAAAATTGGAAGAAAAAACTGATATTGCGTTTAAGATATTGGTTTTTCTTACACTTTTTTGGGTTTAATGTTAAGATGTTTTTCTTACCTTTGTTTAAACAGAAATTAGATTTCTCTTTACATCAAAACATTTTATGAATTTTATCCGTCTTATAAGTTTTTTTTTTTTTTTTTTTTGCCGAAAAGGATCTTATGCACATCATTCGCAAGAAAACAAAACTTTTACATATATGTTGATTAGGTATGTCTATTTCGGGACGGGGAACCTAACATGTCCCGAATTCGTTCACATTCCCACTTCTGTTAGAATAATTGCCTTTTCAGAACTGTTTAGTTAAATTCAATTTTATTAAATTTTTGTTTTTCTAAAAAATATGTAATTGGGACATAGTTGGACTTAAATGTAATTTAATACATCACACCACGGTCAACTGAGCAAATAATTCATGATTTAGTTAACGGATTCCTGCTAAAGATTAAGAAAAACCTCACATATAAACTTGCCTATCATATAACCCTCTTTACAAATGAATAGAAAATTAGATATATGTACATATTTTTACTATATATTAGATATGACAAATGTATTTAACATCACAAATGACTCTTAAATATGGGCTTTATCAATATATATTATATGGTTTAAAGATAACTGATAATAGTTCTAGGCTAGGAATTGATGATGTGGCATCAAGAAGATAATAAATCATATATATATTTATATATATATATATATATTATCTCATGGGGGTGAAAATATGAATTCCAAAGAGATTTATACTAAGAAAACAGAAACATTTTTGAAATCTGTTTCCGAAAACCCCTTATTTTTTTTAAAAAATGTGTGTTTTAATATATTGAAAAATAAGTATTAAACTTGTTATAAACTTAAATAGTACAAATTAAATATATTTGAATAAATAACACTTATATTAGTTCTTATACTCATTTCATATTTTATAATTCTGTGTGGGCGAAACATATTTGAATCAAATAACAGAATATAATATACAAAAAAAATTATTTCGTGCATGCTTGCACATTTATAATCTAGTAGGAGTTTTAACCAGATCAATGTTCCTTACGCACAAAAATTCTGGTTTAAATATTTACGTAAATATATCTTAAAATTTCGTCTATAATCTATTTTTTGTTTACAAAAATTATAGAAAGAATCACCAGAGAACGTGTTTTTTTAACACCAACTTTAACAAACGACAAACACATTCACTTTCATTTTAGAAATGCAACATTTTTTTTGCTATAGAAATGTAATAAGTAAATGAATTTGAAATTTGAAAGATATTTTTGATATTATTATAATTTGAGCAAAAAATTATTAATTACTTTGAGAAATATGAATCATTTTTAGCTCTCATTTCATATCTTATAATTCCTTGTAAGCTAAACATATTTTAATCAATGACAAAAAAATATATTTAGATCGGGGTATAATGCAATGCACACCCCTATAAAATAAAGCCATAGATAGCAAGAGAAATAAAAAATGTGTTTACCTCTGAAAAAAAAAAGAAAAACATAATGTTTATTTAAAAAAAGAAAAAAAGTTATTTCGCATGGTCCAAATTTAGAATCTAGTAGGATTTTCAGTGCGATCAATGTTCCTTACGCACAACAATTCTGGTTATAAATATTTATATATTTCAAAGCTATGTTATCTTAAAATTTTGTCCAAAATCTGTATTTCATTTAATTTTTTTGTGGAAAGTGTTATGAGAGTGTGTTTTAAAAAAAAATAATTTAGAAACACAAAAAAGTCCATTTTCATTTTAGAAATGCGACAATATTGATTTTTGATTTTATTTTCTTAGGTAAATATGTAATAAGAAAAACAATTAGAAAATTTAGAGATATATTTGATATTTAAAACTTGAAAAAAAAAATAGTTTGAGAAATATTAATCATTCGCTTTCTTTTCCCCTAGTCACTTTAAGGGTCGCCTAAAATCTAGAGTTCAAGAAGACGAATCAAAGGTATAAGTGAAGAATAATCATGTTAGATGGATCTGATAAAATCTAGGGTTTGGTCATATGATTATGAGGGTTTAAACATTTGACTTTGAGCATTTTAATCTTTACCATTACGTAAGTTATTAATTTTTTTTTTACCACTAGTTAAGTTATTTATATAATTGGATTTGTATTGTTAAAAGTATAGCAATTAATAGTGGAAGGAGGAGTTTGAGGTATACCCTTTCTTAGAGGGTGTCTTGCCTTGAGTTTTTTTTTATTGAACATTTTTATATCTTGACTTGAGTTAAAATCTTATTACACCTATTTTTAAACCAGTGTACTAGTTCACTGGTTAATCGTCGAAAAATGCACAATTAAGGAGGTTGCATTTAATAAGATGAATCTCATCATTATCACACAAATTTTCCACTAATTTCAGCAATTTCAATATTCAACTGATTTTCGAAATGGGATCATAGATAACTAATTTTTTAATAAATGGCCAACAACAGCAGAATCATTTACAAATCAGACAATCAAAATCCAACGCAACATTGGAATAAAGTTAATTGAGGGGATTTTAGCTGTTGTTGAAGAACTCTTGTGGGATTATGGATGGACAACTTCTTTGCCACAAACTTGTACTGCCATATAAAATTATCACACAAATTTTCCACTAATTTCAGCAATTTCAATATTCAACTGATTTTCGAAGTGGGATCATAGATAACTAATTTTTTAATAAATGGCCAACAACAGCAGAATCATTTACAAATCAGACAATCAAAATCCAACGCAACATTGGAATAAAGTTAATTGAGGGGATTTTAGCTGTTGTTGAAGAACTCTTGTGGGATTATGGATGGACAAAACTTCTTTGCCACAAACTTGTACTGCCATATAAAAAAAAACCATTAATTAACAAAAACTTTAACAAAAAAACCAATAATTAACAAAAACATCATCATCTTCTTATAGAACAATTAACAAAAACTTACTTTGTGTTGACTATACTTCTCTCTTACAGCAGGAAGAGTAGAGACATGAGCGTTACTACACAATCGTTGAAGATCCTTGACACATCCTCTCAGTTCCATAGCTCTATACTGCGTGTAATGCTGCAATGTCGAATTCTGATTCACCAAGAAAGAACAAAACTCTTATTAACTACATTGAATCCTTTCAAAGTATCTAAACAAAGTGAAAAAAAATATACATACCCATGGTCGTCTTGTTGGGTCTAGAATGTATTTAGCCAAGAAAATAGCGGAAGCAGCGACCAGCGAAGGAGAATGAGAGAGCATTGTGTACTCCAAGAGCGATAGTTCTGCGATGTAGTTCGCCATACATTCTAGCTGCATCAATGGAGCTTCATGAACCCCATGAGCAGCACGAACAAAGCGTCTGAAATATCAAGTTTTTGAAATCAAAAGGGTTAACACATTTTGTATGAGATTGGATATTGTAATGACCAAAAGAAGCAAGCATCATCTTGCTAACCTTAGAAAGCATTTGGTTGTTGGTGCTGTCATTTCAAACTTCAAGAAATTCAGAACAGCAGATTCCATGTCAAGAACCTGCAGAAGAGTAAAAGAAACATAACAAAATCAGTATTTTTATTTAGTGAATTTTGTTACTCGTTTATTTTAAAACACAAACCTCATCCTTGAGATATGTATTGTCTGTGATGTAGCAGAATTCCTCAACCTGTGGTGCACATATCTCTTCATATTTTCTGCAACATTCAAACATTTAGCATCATCATAAGATTTTGCCTGAACACTAGAAAGAAATAAACCAATCTAGGCGAGTAACAAAAAATTCGTTCTTACGCTGCTATCATCATACACGCCACACCAAGCAACTGAAGTCTCTGCCTACTGATCACGTTCCCAGATAAGTATCTATCAATGTAGTTCACTGTCAGATACAACGTCTCTGGTACAAGCCTGTACTCTTCTGATACCTGCCAGAAACCGAAAAAAAACTTAGTTATACATTGGCAAAAGAATGACAGAAGCCATCACATTTCTTAATGTTGATAACTATCACTCACCTCAACAAGCCAATCAACTAGTATTCCTCGCATGCTAGGGTTTACATCTTTCTGAACTCTCTCCATGAAGTCAATGGCAGGCCGCTTTTTCGCCTACACCATAGAATTGCAGATTGAGAACTTGAAAAACATAACAAAGCTACAAACATAATGGATTTAGAGTCGAAAAAGATGTTTCACCTCAGCGGCACGAAGATGCTTATAGATGTCACAAGCAAATGTTGCACACAGCTGCGGATCCGCATCATTGTTGTCAATGTTGACAAACTTAGGATTATCCGTTTCCATATCTGACAGTACATCTCTTCTGCAATAGTTACCTGCAATCCAAGCGATCCAACAAGTTTAAAAATACGAACAAAATCGATAAACAAAGTCACTAAAGAATCATTAGTAGTACCAGTTGTCTCTGAGCTCGGCGTTATGTAGAGATTACTCAATGCTTTCCTTTCAATGGAAACTACAGCCGAGATTTCTTCATTGTCGATATACTCTACTTGAGGGCTCTTGTAGGAATCACATGTAGACACTGTCTCGTCCATTGAGACTGATTCGTCATCAGATTTGCTTGGAGAAGCCGCTTTATGTTCATAGGGAAAGGAAGTAACTTTGGTAGGAGCGACGCTTGGCTTTACACTTTGTTGCAGAGGTAAGACATTGCTTGATAAACCGGAATTTACGCAAACAGGTTGTGTTGGTGCTAACTTCAATTTCGCAGACTTGTTCGAGCAATGTGCCCAAACAAAAAAAAAATCAGAACTAAATTAGATTCATAGATTCGATCAAAGAAGCAATAAATCTTCAAATTCAGTAAACAATTCTTCAAACCAAACAAAATTTGATCACAGAAACCACTAACCAAACTAGCCCAAAGAAAAATTCCTCAGAAATTAGCGCATTTTGTAAAACTACACAGAAAATTAACAAAAAACTTAAATCATTAAGAATTTTCACTGATTCAATCAAAGAAAGCAATAAATCCATAAAATACATTTCAATAACCAATTCTCCAAATCAAACAAAACTGCTCACAGAAACCACAGAAGAGGCAAAATCGAAGCAAAATCCTTATAAGTGAAGAACATTTTTAAAATTACACCGCAAACTAACAAAAACTTAAATCATTAAGAATTTTCACAGATTCGAATCATGCGATCAAAGCAAGCAATAAATCCATACTACAATTACAATAAATGATTATTCAAATCTAACAAAATTGCTCACAGAAACAACAGAAGAAGCAAAATCGAAGCCAAATTCGCAAAATGACGAAAGACATTAACGAAATTCTCTATCGAAGTGAGCAGATTATAAAATTAAAAGACGAAGTACTCACCAAATCAGAAGATGAATTTGGGATTCGTGAACCGTTCTTTTGATTTGTGATGTTACCAAGTGGGGCTCGTTTCTTCGTCAACCGTGGATCCGCCATAACCGTAATGTTAGAGCTCGGTTTCACAGAGGTTTCCGACGAAGAAGACAGTGCGTGACGCTTTGCCATGGACGATTTAGTCGACGAGGAAAACGAAGTCCGCCGATTCTGATGAGTGCTCGACATTTTTTGCTTAAGGTAAATCTCAAATCTCTCCGAGAATCCCTGAGAAATGATAATCTGCGAAAGGAAAATTGAGTTTTATTGGCGTGAGAAGAGAAAGAGAAAGAGATACTGAGACAGAATGAACAAAGTGTTCTCTGGTTTAAATAAATAATCCAAATGATATTTTGAATTTTAAGATAAATCCTGACCGTTGATTTTGACGGGTAGATTCTTCCTGGAGCGTAGACAAATTTAAGTTTGGATGTCTGTGATTTCGTATACATCACTGACCTATTGTTGTTTGCCACGTCATGTTCAAGTGTCCTCGTGGAACACAACTTTTTAACTTGATACTGTGTTACCGGTCTTGGGTTTGTTTTTTGAATTCGAATTTCAAACGGCGAGAAAAGATAAATAAAATTCGAATTTCAAACGGTCACTTTCTTGGTGCTTCTCTTTTTAAAGAAAACTACTGGGAGACATAAAAAGAAAAAAAAAAACAATAATACATTGAAATCAGGAGCTATTTTTTTCCTTTTCAAAATATTTTTCCCACGAATATGTTTATAAAAAAAAAACTAAGTTAACTGTAGTGTGAGTCGAATGTTATTTATCCTTTTAGGGATACACTATTTTGCTTAAACTTCAAAACGTGTTATACAAAGAATCTATTGTAACTAAAATACTTGATTTTATATTTTGAATGTTGCCTAACAATTTGATAGGATGTCATGTCAATGATTTATTTTTACTAGGATCATTATAAATTTTAGGATGTCAATTCAGTGTCACACTGAATTTTTTTTTTTGGTTTTGTTAAAAAATTTACTTAAATTTAAAAATAAAGATTACAAAGAAAAAAGATAAAACCATTCATCTCAAACATCGAAATAAAATAAAGATTATTTAGAACTTTCTATGATAATTATTTGGATGTTACTATTTTACTTTCAATAATAGAATAATTGATGTTGAAGCAAAGATACTGATAACATCGTATTTTAACTATTTTTATGGATCGATTTGAAATACAATTTCTATGTTTTTTATTGCTTTCAAGTACTTTTATTACGTTTTTCTAGTATTTGTAGTTCCAAGACTCTTTTCAGGAAATTTAGGGAAAAACTTAACAAAATAGATAGAAGATCAGATTTTTAGCTCAGAGTCAAACCGTCAGAAGTTTACCCCCGATTGAAGGCCTTTTCACCGTCTAATCCAGCTCAAATTTGGAGATCTCAAAGATGGAAATATCAGCTTTCCAGCACACTTTACAGCTTGGCAACCAACGGTTCAATCAAAAGATACGCGAAGAGCAAGATGTCCCGTAAACCAGCCGGCAAGCGTTTCCACCCGCGACCAGCTAACTCCGAGTTTGAAGGCCCATTTCTGAAGCCCGTATCATTTCCCTAGCCTCAATTCCGGAACCCTAGACACCAGAGAGTATTGGAGACTATAAATACATATCATTTAGGTCGTTTTTAAGAAGAGAAGAAGAGAGACGAAATACTTTACAGAAATTTTACTAAGCTTTGTTTTTAGGTTTTAGGGAGAGAGAGATCTATGTCTTGAACACTTGTTCTTTCTTTTTCAATTTCGGTTTTTGTTCTACTTTTTAATACTATGTTTTTGATTTCGTTCATCATGTCTGAGTAGTTTTATTGTTGGGTCTAAGGGATTTTCGATGGGGATATATGTGTTCAATGAGGATTCCATGAGCTATTGAGCCGAATCTTAGAACTTTTTCTTCTGAATTCGTTTTTATTGCATGAGAGTAGCGTCATAAACTACAATCTGATCCAGATTGCTTGGTGACACGAATGGAGTGAAAACCTACCTATGGGCGGTTTGTGAATGCTGACGAGTCTTAAACATAATGCATCTTTTCTCTTCCAGGGCCAGAGTGGAAACCTATTGGTCAGGGTTGAGAGAGATAGTTGTCTATGATCACGACAGTGGCGTATTCATACGTCCGTGACTCCAGCTCGAAAAGTTTAAGCTAAGATCTTATCAAATTTACTCTCTAGCAATGTTTTGAATCGTTCATACCCCTGAGAAAACTTCCCTGAACCCCATCACTTTCTTTACTATAGATTTACACCGATTTTTATTCAAGCTTTAATCTAGTATCTTTACTCTTTCAATCGATTTTCATTTAAGCAATTAAGTTTAGCCATTTTTCTCGTTTTTACCCGTTTTCGTTAAGTTTAGTTATTAGGTCATTTTAATTCCTGTATTTTCTCTTTAAGATTCGTTTTTATGTTTTAAACACACCACCAAAACCCTCACAAAACTCGCCTGGTATTAAACTTCCTTACTTTATATTTCTTTCGAAGGCTTTTGCAGGAAAGATCTTCCTTCCCTGTGGATTCGATCCCTAAGTACTATAATCGATCAGCTGTGCACTTGCGGCTATTGATTTCATTTAGGGTAAAACTTGACAACCCTCACGCAGTAGACATATCAAGTTTTTGGCGCCATTTCCGGGGAAGGCACGCGTTTTCGTTTCTGCAAAACCCTAAGAAAGGTTGGTAAATCGACTCTAGAACACCTTTTCTATTTTTTTTCGTTTTTGGTTCTTCTTGTTTCAGGTTATGAAGCAATGAACCATGTGAAAAGAAATACTACTATGAGGAAGGTTTTTACAACACTCCTCAAGCCACTCAACGCCGAGAAGCACAATACATTCATGATCTCTCCTCAATGGATCAGAATTCAATTCCGAACCACCACACAAGAGGACTTCGCAGCCACAACAAATCAATTCGCGAAGTTTTAGAGGAAGAAGGATTCTACAAGGAACACGACCCTTATTCAACTCACAATGCCTATGGAGATATCCATGATCCCCTCTTTGATGTAGAGATGCCATCTGTCTCCAAAACCGAGATGGATGATATGCTTCGAGAGCTCAATGAATCTGTGGATGACGGGTACTGGGTAGCTTGTGAAGTAGATGGAGAATCTTCCATCAAGTTTGTTAGAAAGAGGCCATCAAATAAAATTCCTTTGGATCATCACGTCATGGAAGCCAGTCATCAAGAAAAAGGAGAACCTATTTCTATCTCTAGTGAGATCTCGCCTCTACCGATTCATTCAAGTATTTTGGAGATGACAAACAAGATCATAAGTCACTTCCTCTTGATGAACCAAAGCCTTTTTCTCCTTCAGCTCCTCACCATCTTGACTGTGAGACAGACCACGTGAAAGATGAGACACTAATGGTGACATCAAAACCATCCTATTGGAGGCGCTTTCTAAGACAAAGGATCCCGAGAAGTTTGATGCCCCATTCTTAGTCAAGGGAGTGAAATTTCGTGATTCTCTTTGTGATATTAGACCTGATGTGAATCTTATACCAAAGACCATTGCAGAGAATATAGGTATTTCGATTTTTCATCCTTTTAAGATTTACATTCACTATGGAGGTTTTTCTGGTGCAGCTCCACTCGGTTTCAAACCCAAATTTCCTTTTCAAGGGGAAGTTTGTCTTGTTTCTACTGATTTCCATGTTATGGAGATGAGAAAGGATGGAACAAAACCCTTGATATTCGGGTACTTCGTTCCTGGCATCTGTTGAAACACTTATCGACTACCCGAATCGATGTAAGAGTTCCACGAAGATCAACAAGAAAACCTTACATCCAGCGATTCCTACAAGGAACTCTCATTGTCTGACAATAGGGGGCGTAGATGATCCAATATTTGACCCTGGAGGAACTACAAAAGATGTTGGATACGTTCTAGGAAGAAGAGCACCCAAAGAAAACGCTGGATTTACAAGCTTGACGACCAAAGGTACTTTTTTATGTATACCTTTAACTAATGCTCATATGAGAGGCGATGGAGACTTAATTGAAGCAAGAGTGAAGCTTAAATGGCTCTCAAGACTCTTTTCCAAATAATCCCCACAAGGAAAAAGAATTGGAGACAAGAAGCAAGAGGATCTGGACATCTCTCCTCGGACATTTGGCACCGCGGTCGCGAGTGCGCTACCAGCGGCCAACCCATGTTTCTCTGCGGTCGCGACACTTGCACCAGCGGCCAAACCACCTTTCACCGCGGTCGCGACACTTCCACCTGCAGCCAATGCTCTTTTTACCAATTCTCCAACAGTTCAAGCTATGGCGACACCTCTCCAAGCAAACTGTCCTCACCTTGGATGCTTAACCATCTCCACCACTTCAAATCATAAAGAATCATCTGTCCTTGTATCTTGCAATAGGTTCAATGCTATGACGTGAGTGGGACATTATTCACCTCATCATACGAGCTTCCAAGACATTTTCCTATCACAACTGGTGTTGAAGACTCATACCTCAAAGAAGTTCCAAGACTTATTTTTGATCCTGGAGGAGGCTACCATCTTGAACATAATGACGAAATTTCCAATTGGGAATGGCGTTATAAGGGATATACAAAGGAAAGGCAAGGAGAATCAAAGAGGACTTGTCCCAAGACATTGCCTTTTAAGGACTAAGCCACGTCCTACACCAAAGTCGAGCTAAACGACTTTAAACAAAAGCGCTTAATGGGAGGCAACCCATTTATATATTGTTTTCTTTAGGATTTTTTTTTCTTTTTCTATTGATCTTTTTCTTTTTTTTAGTTTCAGGTGTTTCTTATAAAACAAAAAAAAACAAAAAAAAATCAAAAAACCCAAAAAGACCAAAAAGAAGGATGGTCCCTGACTGCTCGGCCCAGCAGGAACCAAGGAGAAGAAGGAAACAGGCCGCGATATAAGCCCCCGCGGTCGCAGGCGTTCTGACCGCGGGAAACAACTCCTTGACCGCGGCTGCGTCTTTCTGACCGCGGCCGAGCACCGGTTTGCTGCGGTCGCGTGACCTCTGACCGCGACAAATGGTCGTTGAGATGAAAATCGACCCAAAACCACCCACTTCACCTCATTCCACCTCACCAAGCCCCATTCCACCTCATTCATCACTTCCCACCACCTATCACCTTCTGAAACCTCTTTGAATGAATCCGGTCCATCACCACCAGCATCCCGGATCCAGGTAAGTTCTCTTTGGCTTTACCAATTCGATTATCTATGCATTTTTCTCATCCAATCTCGACTTGTTTCACACTGAGGACAATGTGATTT